GCCTGCCTCCGCATTTGGTATTCGGGTGCTGGCTGCATGCTGTGCGAGCGCTGCTGCGCTAATTGCTGGCTGGCTGGCACTCACGCTCTCACGGGCGAGCAGGAAGGAGCGGGCAGCCATAGCCGAGCTGCTCCGCTGTGAGCTGSGTGTRGCGCAGGGTGGTCCTTGGGTGCTAGTGGCATCTGTGTGGTGTGGATCGGGGTTGTGAGTGTGGCGAGAGACATACCTGGTGCTGGAAGCGTGCGGCATTGTCCGCTGTATGCTCGTACTTCAGGAAGCTGTTGTTGTCAACATCGGCATTGTAGTATTAGGCTAGATAGGATCTGCCACATGTAGTCTGGGCGTCGAGCGCCAATAGGATATCAACTCTTGTTCTTCGTTGATGATGATGAGAGACTATTTCAGCATTGTCAATTACAAACTATTGGTGAGTTCTTATTTGGTGAATCTCGTGATGCATTTCTGCTGTTGGTTCGAGGTCAAGACTATCTGGACTCATATGTATAATGCTGTTTGATTGCTGGAGTTCGCTAATGCTCATCTTCCTTGCAATTTGGTATTGGAGCTGTGGTACGATTGCGCTCATCTGGCGCTTGTCTTCTGCCTTATGCGGTACATAATGCGGTCTGCTGGGCGAGTTTGGCCGTAAGTGGTGTGTAGTGAGGAGGGTGGAGACGAGTGTGAAGGCGACCCAGGAGGTGAGGGGTTCGCCAGGAAGGCTATGTGAAGTGTAAGTGGTCTGGACAGTGTGATGAGAACTATCTAATGTGCGATTGATGCTGAGGTGGAACGGCGGATAATGCTGGTTGTGCCGATGCAGTGACTGGTCATCGCAATTGCCATTTGGTCATCTGGTGAGATTATCTCTGTGGTTGGGGGCAGCAATATTGAGGYACGTTCCTCCCAACCTTATCTACCCTCTCCAACACTTCTTACCGTGAGGTTGTGTGATCCAACTTGAGAGTCCTCTCATCGTGAGGTGTTGAGTGCGCTCAACCTTGAGAGTCGGCATACTTCCTGTGGAGCATCAGGGGGAAGAGGGCGTTGCTTTCTGAAGGACCCTGGATGAAGCACTGGGTCACGGTCACCATGCCAACCCACTGGGTGTAGTACACGCATGCTTCGCTGCAAGTCTTTGGTTCTGCTGCTTGCGCAGATAGAGGTTAACTCGGGTGTGGCAGCCTCTTGAGACGCTTACCAGACCGTCTATAAACATTTCTGGTTGAGGACTTGGCTCTGAATCTGGCTGTGATCGTCGTCCTGTTGCGACGTAAAATAATTCCTGATGTCACTTGGGGGCGGACGTTAAATTGCCTCTTGATCAACCAGATCAACCGAGTGTAAGGCTCGTCGGCGTACGAGGATAAATAAGAGTGTTGTGGCTGCCTTGCTCGACGATAACCTGGGGCACAGGGGTGGGACCGGATTGCACACCTTCAGTCACACATGCTACCCGATTGCTCAGGACGCTAACGGCAAGAGATACTCAAGTGTAGATTGGAGGGAGGGGTTGATTCCAGGTGACAAGTTCGAGAAAATACCATGCTGTCCTATCCACACAAGTGATTCTATTTTTATGTTTTGATTAGTTAGATGGACTGCCATTGACATCTGACAGACAACATTAGTTAGAACTTTTGATTGTTCCTGGTGCTTCTGGTTGCGGACTAGTCATACTAAAAATAGTTTCAGTTGTAGGAGTCTGAATCATCTGCTGACCCCAAATGAGATCTGTTCCAAAAGTAGCCACCATCAATTAGTTGGTCTGTGCACTATGTTGTGGTAGGCATCTAGAATGATCTAGTGTAGACAACGCACAGTGTTGTAGCCTATGAGCGACACAGGGAACACCGGAGAAGACGACCGCAGGATCTTGCGATCAGCTAGAGGCCCACGTGTCCTTAGGACCGGAGGGTGATAGGGAACTGTTCCGCCGGCAGCGGGAGAGGCAACAGCAGAGGAGAGCTAGAGCAGCCGAGGCCAGCAGGGCATTAGCTAGCGAGGCCGGTGCTACAGCAGCCATGGCTACCACAACCATGAGCACGTCTGCGCAACAGACTTCCCAAGACGGTAGTTCAGGTACCGCCGGGTCCACGGTCGCGCAGACCGTGAGTCAGTCCACTGGCTTAAAGGCAAGCCAGCCCGCGGTGTTGACCCCAGAGGATGTCGCCATCCAGCAGGCAGCCCTGCAAGAGGCACAGCTACAGCAGGCATTAGGACAGATAAAAAGAGAGAAGGAAATGATGATTAGAAGAAGAACCAGGTTGCAACGAAGAGGGGCAGACATAGAGGAGTTAGAAACGATGGACCTGACGAACATGGATGATGATGTGAGAGTAGTTAGGAGGGCCCTGCTAGGGGTAATAGAGATGCAGGAGCATCAGACTACCATCCTTCAAGACATCCAGCAGAGGCTAGCCATTTTGGTAGGGCGTTCTCAGGCAGTGCCATCACTTGCAGGGCCGGGTGCCTGGCCTGTGCCATATCCTCCCTTTTCTGTCCCACCGGTCACTGGGGTATCCCCATTTGTAGCCCCGTCGACGGTTGTTGTCGTTTCCCTGGGCATGCCGCTCTCAGGAGGGCTATCAGCTGGTCCTGGTGTTCAGGTTCCAGTACAGTCAGTGGTCACCCAGGTTCCGTCATAGGTTGCCATTAGTGGGCAATCTATTGTCTCGCAGTCTGTGCAGCCACAGGGCACACAGCCCCAGCAGCTAGCACAACAACCTGTATCACCGGATCCACAACCTGGGTTGGTGCAGGGACCGGGACAAAGTCAGTGGGTTCCAAAGACGGCCATCGCCGCTCCCAAACCCTTTACAGGGGACAAGAGAGGCGAAGATCTCGACACGTGGTTGAGGGCAGTGTCGGTCTATGTCAGGTGTAAACTTACCTTGCCACACCAAGAAGTGCTTGTGGCTGCATCCTACCTAGAGGGTAGTGCAGCAAGATGGTTGAGTGGGTTAGTACAACTCCAGGGGCACGGTCATGACTTTCGATCTTGGGCAGCCTCTCAGAAATTGGAGGACTTCCTGAAGATGGTGGAAGAAAGATGRCATGATCCTCAGGAGGCCCAAAAGGCCACTGATGCGATCCTGACACTGCACACGAGGCAGTATAAGTCAGTAAGGGAAGCCACAAATGCTGTAGAGYGTCTGATCTGTGTTCCAGGGGTGCGCTATGACCCCCAGGTCCTGTTGACTTCGTACTTGAGATGCTTATCCCAGCCTCTCAGGAACCAGTTGGCAAAAGAGGCCAACATCAATATGCACAACTTTCCTTCGTTCAGCAAGGTGGCCCTAGACCTAGAAGAAAAAATAGGGCATGGACATAACTCGGTGACGGACGGGAAAAAGAAGACCCTGCCTCCTAACTGGAAAGCACAGGGCCGCATTATGTTCGTCGACCACGATGGATCAACCATTGAGTTGGACAACGACTCCCAGTTAGGAGTAGGTGCAGAGGCAGGTGGCGATGCTTCAGAGGGTGAAGTAGTCGCCACCGTAACCCAACAAAAAGGTAAGGGAACCGGTAGACGCCCAGGGGGCTCCCGATCTAGGAATCAGGTTGACCCCAATGCTCCTCCATGGGAGAAAGCGGGTCTTTCCGAGGACGTGTGGAGAGATCGGTGGAACCGTCAGGCCTGCATCCGTTGTGGTCAATACGGCCATAACCAGTTCAAATGTAGGAACAAGAAGGTCACCGATAAGATCCCGCCTACTATGGGGCAGGCGGTAGGATCCTCATCTCCCGTAGGTAGCAATGTTGCCAGTTCATCAGGCACTGCTCCGGGAAACACGTCAGGCCAGTAGGAATAATAGTTTTTCCTACTAGGGATGAGGTGGTGGAGACACCCTCGCCATCTCGCATCATGGCCCAAGCTACTGATTCCCTTGTCGTCCCGCAGACGCATTCAGACCCATCGACCCTTTGCTCGATGAATGTGTTTGAGTCCTTAGAGGAGCTAGAGGCGGAGTGGTCTAGACTAGACCCGCTAGCTTCTTGGACGGCACTAGCTAAAGCCCCAAAGGGTGAGATGTTCATCAGCGAGATAGTCGTAGGCGGCCGCAAGGCCGGGGCCTATTATGACACTTGCTCGACACGAAACTTTATTAGTCGCGCGTGCGTTGAGAGGCTGCGTTTACAGGGGCAAGTGCAGCGCCTGAGTCGACCTGTGGAGTCGACCTGTGCCAACAAACAGCGCATGGTAGTTAATGACTACCTTCAGGATGTAGAATGCCTGATCCCGTTCGCGAAAGGGGAATTGAGGCACTGTGTCTCATTCCTAGTGAGCGACGATCTCCCTATGCATATCTTGTTAGGTATGTACTACCTCTCTGTGGCACAACCCCAGTTTGACTGGGACCGAAAAGTGGTCAAGCACACTTTGCCAGGTGGAGGGACCGCCAGACTACACAAGTTCAAAGCTAGTAGTCTGATCGATTCCCATGGATGCATGTGTGCGGCCGCATTCTATAACTACTATAAGCAACATCAGGAGGAGGGTATGTACTTAGT